ACAAAGGTACTTTTCCTGTGCATGTTGTTGAAGCTTATTTAGTCTGTCAGTTTTACTAAATAGCTGTCTAACGGGAAGGGATGGTTAGCGTGTGAGCGTCGCCGCTGGCTTCTCGGAGGGCTGGACGGTTAAAGTTCTTAATTGTGCCAGGGTAGCAGAAGCAGTTAAAACCAAACGTGTTTAGCACCAGTTCTTGAGAGAAAAGTAAAACTGGTTATTTCCTTCCTAGACCAAGGAAGCATTTGTGTGAATTGGTGCTGTGTTTTGGCCTTCCAGAAAAGTATCTGTAGGAAATAAACATGAGTCTTGTACAGGATGCTGTAAAACCACTTGCTCCAGCAAACCATCTGTTACAGAGATAATTTCCAGCTCTTAAAGTACCAACATGCTAATATACTGAGTATACTAGTGCCTTTTATAAAGAACAGTACAAAATACAAATATAATAGAAAATGCCTGTCATTTTTATGTTGTATAGGTGCAGCAGTATAGAATAGCAATGACCGCTAAAGACTGCTCCATCATGATTGCCCTTTCTCCCTGTCTGCAAGACGAATGGTAAGAGATACCTGCTTGTGAATGACTCCTAAACACGGGTTAGAAGTTGAAGATGCATTTGCACAGTTCAGGCAATTGAAGTAACTGTTAAAAAAAAGTAGGCTGGGGGCGGGGGGGGGGAGTTGCGTCCAGATATTTGGCTGTGAGCACATGAGTAACAGAGTTCTGCTTTAAGACATGTAGGACAAATGTCTGTTTCTAAAAAATTTTAAGTTGATAAAAAGCGTTAAGGTTTTCTATTTATTCCTTTCTTGAAATTTGAATTGACTGTTCATAGTAGATAGATTGCGCAATTTTAACTAGGTAGTTTTACTGCCTTGGTGTCCTCGTGAGAGGTTTTTCAAGATGACTTGCCTTTAACTGCCTTATTAGAAGTCTTTAAGCACATCAATACAAACAAGGCAATAATCAAGAGGTGACATCTTTCACTGTAAGGCACTATAATGCCCATTTTGACTTGTGTCAGCAGTAATAGCCTGCTCTTATGGAGGGGACTTCGCTTTACCAAAGCCGTATTTGTAGAGAATATTGTTTCCTGTGTTTGCCCTGTAGTTGATCCGTGCCTTGGATGAAACGTTCGTGATGGAGATGACTTGTGCAGTGGCTGACAGAGTAGAACGCCCTCCGTCCTTCAGTATGCTCAGACACTAGTTCTGATACTTAATTTGTATTACCTTGAACCTAAAGTAGGAGTTGCAGTGATTCTTTCTGCGTCTGCAAGTTAATCAGGCTGTTGCTTTGCATGCATACCCCCTACAACCAGCTTAGATTTGCTGAACACAAAGACACAGTAATTGAGAGTCATGTTTTGACTTAAACTGTGTGGAAGCTGAAAGGAAAAGCAGAGGCACCAGCAAGTTCACTCTAAGACTGGTTAGCTGCAGCTGTAGTTTCCTAAAGGCTACATTAGCTGAAGTTTATTTTCTCAGGCTCTCATGAAAGGTACAAGATAAACACTTGAGTCACTTGTGCAAGGGGACTCGGGATACACAAATGAAAAACGCTGGATTTGGTGACTCAAATGTGCAATACGGTTTTGTTTTGCAGCTCCGAGCAGAGACCTGTGGTACTAACGTCCAAATCAAGATTCAGCTTTTCTGTTTCTGTCCTGGACCTCGATCTAAAACCATATGACAGCATTCCTCATCAGTACAAACTCGATGGCAAGATAGTAAACTATTATTTGAAGAATGTACAGGCCAAAGATGACCCAGTTATGTCCAGTCTCTTCAAGGAGAACGAAGACTGCACATTAGTTCTCCATAAAGTGTAACTGTTTCTTTAAGGTTACTGTTATTTGAACACATTAGAAAGTGAAAGATTAATGGAATACAATTATGGTGATTTTTTTTTTTCCTGTTGTGTTCAGTGCATTTTTCAGCTGTGAATGTTTTTGCTTTAAGACATGATTTCTAATTTGTATGCCTTTTCAAAGACATGGAATAGCACTAAAACACACACTTGCTATATAACCTTAATGAATGTATTTAGTATGACAGAACAGGTAATGTGCCATACCTTGGAACTAGAGGAGAGATCAAATTAATACTGAAAGTCTACTTGCTTAGAATTGAAAGAGCACAGAATTGAAGGTTTTCCTGAAGTATTGCACTAACATAGAAAGCCTAATTACTAACAAGAGAATTGCCTTGGAGCTTGCGCGTGAGTCTCACTCGTACCTACTAGGAAGAGGGAATGCTCTGACAAAGCCTTGTACAAAACTGTAGCATTAAGTCCACTGAACACAGCTGAAGTGGCTACTCAAGTGTTAGTGATCTACGGAACAACTACTGTGTTACTGCAGAACGCTCTTAAGTACTAATGTGTGAGATGATTAAGAACACCAGACTGCCTCCAGAAGTTTTGGGATCACCTTGTATCTACCTAAAGCTTCTGAAACTAAGGGAAAAGGGTTAAAGGTAAGCATCTTCGAATTTTATGTGATAGCTTAGCTCATCTGACATACTGGTCTTCTATTTATCCATTATATGCTGCTATTGAAGGTGAAACGACAGCTCGCTATAAGAATAATATATTCTGAGTTTTACAGGTTATTTTGTTCTTTCAGATTGTGTCAAACGGTGGCATTATTTCACTGATAATTCCCCACACTGTGTAGTGTGACCAGCTGCCTTCAGGCTCATTCTTTTTAAGTGACACGGAAAAAAGGTGACAGTATCTGATTTTCTAGAGCTGCCAGGGGGTCACTTTCTCATGATGAGCACTGGAGCTAAGCTCATATTGCCACTTCAGCAACTGAATGGCGGCTTTACTTTGTAAACAGTGGTATGTGCAGCTGAAGTCTTGTGAGATGTTGCAGTAAATGCCATCCTCAAGGAGGAGCCTTAGTTGGGGACAGAGGATACATTCAAAACTGAGGGCAATATGATAAAAATCTGCAGATGCTTTTCCCCTGTACTTGGGGACCACGCACCCTGAAATGTGCGGAGAGATGCTGTGAATTCAGGCTACAGAGAACTGCTGTTACCTGCATACAGTGTGTGCTTACTGGTAATGTTTTTCAAAATAATGTAGGTTAACATTTAAAAAAAAATTACATTGGGATCTCAATGTAATGTTTGCATTGTTCCATTTTACCTGAAATTCAAAAAGCAAACCCAGAAAACCCTGTATATATTGGCACAACTCGAGGAAGACATACGAGATCGAGACAGCAGAGCTCTGCTGTGGGCAGGGAGCAATGTGAGCAGTCTGCGGTACTCCCGCTCCCCCTGAGGGTGTTGTGCCTTCCTGGGACAGCGTCCTGAAACGGGATACTACAGCAGTGCAATAAGCTGGCAGGCGGCAGTGGTGATGACCCCTCCTGTCCAAAGCAAGCCTGGGGGGAGAAGGAGCTACTTTTAATCCAGAAATCCTCCAACTGTTAGGCGAGAGGAGGAAGGACGGACTATTCACAGCCAGTAAGTTTTCAGGTTTTTATGCTGTAACTTTACACCCATTTCATATGCAAATAGAAGCATATGTGCTGATCAGTTTCATTTTCGTGCAAGAAGGAGCTAAAGATGAAATAAATTAAAGGTTACACAAAACTAGCTAAAGCAGTAACATGTCAGTGGATAAAGTAACAAATGAATTTTGCCTGTCTACTGGATTCCAAACTTGAAATTAGTCTGCCTTATATCTAACAAGATATTTTATTATAGAGTTGCTGTTCATCAAAACTTAATCTCTGGCATTGCTCAGCTGAAGATTCTGACAAACCAGTCTGGTCTGTCAGTTTTTCCTGACCCAGAACAGTAGGAGACTATTTCAGTGATCAAATAGTGGATTATTAAAATTATGGCATTATAAACATACTGTTGCTTTAGTTCTTGATTTCTCCACCTGTTTTGCTATTGCTCTATAATATTTTGTCATAACTTAGAAAAGGAGCAGGCAGTTGTACAGCTTGCATGGTTAGAGCAGCTGTGGACTTGGAACTCTCTTAATACTACTTGGGAGTCCACAGGTTGTAGTTTTGGCCCCTTGATTCCAGGAACAATTTTGCTCCCGACCTGAGAAGGATGTGACTGACTTACAGTTGTATCAGTTTGGCTTGGGTACGGTCATTTGGCTGCGACAGCTGGTGCCGAGCAGGAACTCCCTTGGAAAATGCTGAGAGTTCACAAATGAGCTAATGGTACATCTGATGGAAGCGAAGGAAGATTACGAGACATCTGTCTAATCTGTTTTGTTTCTTCAGGGATGAATGTATGAAATGTGATGCTTTCGTCATGTGTTACCTACTAGAATTTCCCCCTAGCAGTAGGAAATCAAAACAAAGTGCTGCAGTGAGCAGCAGTTAACTCATCCATCTCTCTTTAGAGAAGTGCAGTGGTCCTTTCTCATTCAGTTTAATGCTGTCTCCACTCAACGCTTACATTGTGGAAAAAAGTTACTTCATGCAGTTACCCTTCTTTTTTTTTGTTAGCATAATATGTCTTTGAAATCTTCAAATTGTCTACTTCCACCCTAATTTAATGAGAAAGCTATTTAACTCTTTGTTCTAGGAGTCTCTTACTGTTCTCTTGTAATTTTGAAATCACTGTACTTTTACAGAGCTGTGAAATGAAATGGATTTTTATGGACTTGATTTTGACAGTGCATGATCTTTTAACACTTTCCAGGTGTCTAGAAAATGTTAAGAAGGTAAACCACTCTGGTACATTAATGATTCAGAAAGATAAATTTATAATGAAATCACTCTGTACATGTAACTATTTTATTTGGCATTTTTGTATTTAAATGGCTGTATTTATTTTCATGTCATGACAATTTATATATAACGTGCCATAATTGTACAGATAGCATGTTTTATGAGTATGGTTTCTAAATGGAAAATAACTTAATGTTTATATTCAATAAAATTATAGACTGTGTAACACAATATCTTAATTAAAACTACTTTTGAAATTGCTACCTGTCGTAAGTCATGCTGCTATTCATATCTCCAAGCCAACCACTTTGATCAGATTCTCGATAGCTGCCTCGATGCCAAACAGAAGCAGCAGACTTCGGAAGCGGGAGGGGGCGTTTTCAGTGGCTGCCATCTTCTGCTCTAAGACTGCAAGAAAAACATACCAACGAACGTTATTTTCACACAGTTGCATGATGACTGAAAGCAGCTGTCAGCAGTGCGTTTTCGGATAAAACGGGCTCCCTGCTGTCTAGAAGAGGAAGATGGTTGTTTCTTGTAAGCCCTTATAAACTATACAGGAGGTGAAGCTTTGCCGCTTGCTAAATTGGGATTTGTGTGCCTGATTGGGCTCTGAAAGATGTATTTATTTCCGTTTCCTGTAAAGAGATGTTGGCCAAAAAAGGGGACAAGTGTTCTACTGGAAAGCTCAGAAGGGCCCTCGGGAGTGAGTGACGTTACCTTGCTCCGGTACTTTCGTCAGAAGGTCCAGAACAGGTGTAGTTCTCCCTTCTCCATCTATGTGTATCTTCCAAACAATCATTAATTCAAACCTGTGTCACGTGCACAGAAAAGATAGTGAAGTGTTAACTAGGTGGCTGTCTTTAAGGTGTCTTCAAAGCAGAAAGAACAGTATTTGGGCAGTTCACACTCATTATGCTCTTACACAAAATTCACCTCAGGTAATGCAACTTCCCTGTCTCTGAGAATGAGAAATACTCAAGTTTTGGACCCAAGGGGCACTGGTAATCTATTGCCAAAGAGAGGTTATTGCGTCATTTCCAGGTACATCCTAGTTTTCAACCATAAGGATTTTTCCCCCTGCTTCTTGTCTTTGTCTCTCACAAATGGTAGGTTTCCGTGGAGCAGAGGTAAAAAGTAAGATAGGAAAGAAAATGGGATAGCATTTCCCTCTTCCCCACCCCTTACATACCATCTGCAGCCGGGAATCAGGAATTGTGCTGGATACAGCATGAAAACGGGGAAATCGTTGCAGGAGGAGTGTTTGTGTGACTAATGATGTCCTGGCTTTGGAATAAGGTCTGCCCTCATATTGTTCGTGGCCTTTTCAGAATAATGCACAGGGATAAATACCTGCAAGGCCTGCAGCTGTTTGCTTTTAATGTGAAAAAACAAACACCACTCAACCATCATTACCCCTTCAAGAGTGATTCTGTTGTTTTTGCAAGGCTAATTATTGTTTCCAGCTTTTGCAGCAGGACAAGGTGGCTCCACCATACGAAGTGAACAATTGAGCAGTTGGCTTCTGCAGGGTGAGCTTTTCTACTCCAGCACACAGGGGTTCCTCTAGAAGAATATTCATACCATTTTGCTGCTTTACAACTTCCCAGCTGCTTTGCTGCTTTTTGTATTCCCCTCCAATCCCTGCTGTTGGGAGAATTCCTTATTAAAAGTAGAGCTTTCCTCATCCAAAGCTGATCTGCACCATAACACGTCATTGCAAGGAGCAAGTTCCCTTTCTCAGTGATGCTTGAACAATCATGACTATAAAAGTTTCCTTTAAATACACTTTGTCAGCCTTTTGCCACTTCATTGTTGAAAGTCCTTTGAGAATTACTGCACAGCTTGTTCTGGGATTTAGCAAACGAATTAATATGCAAGTTTATTCTCTACCAACCCACTGAAATGATTTTAAATTCTTATATGTAATGATTTGGGTGAGAGGGAATGTGTAACGGAACTTGGCATCTGTCAATGTGAAGAGAAACTGAAATAAAAGCAGTTTATTTTCTAACTGTGATGGTCGAACAACAATTCATGTCAGCAACCCACAGTTAGACAATTTAGTTTTAAATGGCAGATTTGGCTAAACCAAGACAGCACTATCTATTATGGTTTATTTGCTAGTGCCATAAACACATATGATGGAGAGAGCTACGCTTTATTTCCAGTTGTTTCCATATAAATTAATGCATGTTACAGCGAAGATGTAATGGGAAAAGGGAATGGTCTGATCCCTCACAAAATCGTTACTTTTTTTGGCCCTTACAGAGTTCTTGACAGTGAAAATTATATTGTCTTACATGCAACTTCAATGATTTTTTTTCTCTATTTAAAATCCCAGACCAGACAGAACATGTCCAGCAGGGAGCCTGAACAACTCCAGCACTTGTGGTGGAGTAACAATAACAAACAGCAGTGCAATCATCCCCTCCTTCACCTGATTTCCTTCTAAAACAACGGGAAAACGTAGCTACAGTTGCTTTTAGTAACATGGCAACTGAATTTTCTTTCCCTTCTTTAACAACAAGAGCTGTGCTCTGCTGCTGCGAGGTGTGAGCGTGGTACCTCCTACCACGGAAGAAGTATGAGCTGTAACTGACAGTCTGCGAGAAGGGACCGGCGCCTTCGTTCAGGCCCTGGCGTGGAAAGTGCTGCTTTCTCCCAGCGAGAGGACAGTCGGCAGTGGCTCACACTGTCGCGCTGACTTTTTTTCTGACTTTCAAAAACTTTTTTGGGGTTTTTCTCCTCATGTTTTTAATGTGTAGTAATGGCCCTAAAATGTAACACACATCATCTAATCTCCATGTTTAGAGGCCTTATGAAGTGAAGAGTGCCAGTGTTTGAGCAGACTGATTACCTATAGATTGTCACTACGCGTTTCACAATTCTTTATCTGCATAAATCAAGAAATGTATTTATTGGCTTACCCAGAAAGTTTGGGGTTCCTCAGACTAATATAATCTCCCAGCAGTCCTTCCGGCAGGGTCACTATGTCAGGATATTTGGTCTGTGAATAAACAGGTACAAAAGGGTATAAATTAGGTCACAAAAATCATAGTAGACAAGGTGGTTTCTAGCTGGTGCTTTCCAGTTGCAATGGATTTTATTAGCTTGCATTTGTAATAATTAAGAGTAACAATACCAACTGTTTAAAATTCTGACACGGAATTTTTTAAGTTTTGATGGTTTGGAGGTTTTTTTGTGGGGGTTTTGTTGGCTTTTTGTTTGGTTATCAAGAGATATTGACATTTGGTCACCTCAGAGGAGAATACAGTACCATGGGCTGTACAAACAGGCCTTAGAAGTCCTTGGGCAAGACCTAGGAAACCTTGGAAGAATAATTTTTAATAAAGTTCTGTTAATTTGACTTAATAACACATTATCACCATTTCACCAACCCCCCCTCTGTGATTTACATAACCTCACTACTACACTCTTGTTTTGATACTCCTTCGGAAAAACTGGGTCACCAAGCTCTATACAGTGCTTTGAAAGCATAAAGCAGTACAGGCAGTGAGATGCCAAAATAACCACTAGTATCAAAATACAATGGGACAATAGAAACATGATAAAACACAAAACTGGACTACTATTAAACTTCCGTGTTACTGGGGATCAGAGCTATTTTCAATTACTTCAATGTGCAAAGAACAATCATCCTTCCATTACTTTGTTAATGCATCTAATATTTTACAGTCTCGAACGTGTCTATCCTGAATTACCCAAGACTCAGAACTGTTGCTATAACTATTTTAAAGGCCTGCGAAAGAAAAGCAGAACAGTGGCTGTGTATGGATTCTTCGGAAGTTAGGCAGTACGTAAGGTGACAGATTACTCAGTGTATGAGGAGACGCATAGATATCAACGTACTGAGCAAGAACAGGGTTACCGCATCCTGCAGGGATGTGCTACTGCACGCCAAAGCAGAATCCAGGCGCAGCCTGTTACTGTGAAGACATCAACACTGTTACTTGCTTGTACTGTCTCATGTACTGGACAGAGAGCTGTGTTCCAAAACTTGCAGTTTATAAAGTGTGAAAAGTCTGTCAGCCTGAATCACTGTACAGCGCTCGCAGGGCAAGCGGTCTGTCTTACGGAAAAGGGGCAGGAGAGCTCGTCTCCGAAAAGCACTGGAGAAAATGAGTTGGGTTTTATAGGATCACGCCTCATCTGGCAGACTGAAATTGCTACCAGATGTGACTTTGCTCTGGTTTAGGAATTTATGACAAACTCAAGGGGGTTGTGCAGAATGCCAAATGACATACAACACATGGAATTTGCCAGTTTTAATTTCTACAAAGTATCTAGCACTGTATTTACCATGGGGATAAAGCCTGCGATCTATCCTGGGAACAAAGACCCATCAGGGACAACAAAGCGCACAGTAGTTACAGCGTGTAAGCATGGCTGAGCTAAGGTCACTCGCCTAGCAGAACACTCATCTTTTTTCAGCTTTGTTCCCTGTGGAATCACGCTCCTCTGATGACAAACTAAAACAAGTTTTTTAAAGGCTTTCCTTCCAATAACCCACATCTTTTGATATTAATTATGCGCCTTCCTTTGTCTGGTATCATAGGTCTCGGAGAACCTAGCGATCTCTTTAGCTCTAGGTTGCAAACACTAGAAATTTAGGATTAGCTTTTATCTGGTGAACTCAACTGTCAAGTTCCTTTTTCACAAGAGACCCCAAGTATACCATAGCTAAACCCTGAGTCACGTTTTATCTTCATCCACCCGTACTGAGACCTTTGGGAATCACCAGAGAAAATAGATCAGAGGAACTAGGTAAAAGTTCCGATTTTCAAACAGCTGGAAAGTGCACCCATGGCTTGTTTGGGAGTTCCTGTGTAGCTGCCATAATCAAAAGATTGACCCCCAGCTAGTGGGTGGTGGTTTATGCTGTACAGAAACCAGAGGTAACTCAAGAAAATCTCGAAATGTATGATTTTCTGTCATTTAAAACCTTTCTTGTACCTGGGAGGCAGTGTGTTGCCGAGTTCTGCACACTGCGAACGATTATTCTGTGCCTTCAATAAACACTGGGGTTTTGGCAATCAATCTGAATGCCGTGAGAATCTGATCTTGTGTGAAATTCACAGGATTTGGGATAGAATCCAGCTTTTTAGCAGGAAAGATCATATCTTAGCAATTCAGAAAGCACCCCAAAAGCCAAAAACTCAAATACCTACGTCTGTCTCCAGGCGGAATACACGCTAAAACTGAAGTCCTAACAGTGGTACGCAGCAGCACCGCGCCCAGACGCATGCAAGGATGGATGGCTGCCTGTTAAACACTGACAGTTTAGGGAATAAACCCCAGGAAATGCCGTCACACAATCTACTTTTCATATTCCACATGTAAAACGTAACGTTTGTATCCCACAGGTAAAACGCGGGGATCTGGCACGTAAATGAAAAACCAGGCACACAGTATGCACAAGTTGCAAAAGTCCTGACAGAACGACAGTTCCAGAAACGCTTTGTGGGTACTGGATAATCACCTCATATTCTCTGCTGTGCAACTTTTCCAACTTTTCCCCGGGGAAAAGAAAAGCCGAGCAATAAGCCGGGTAACGGAACGACCCGATCCACTGAAAGGTCCCTTGGGGAAGTCAGTAACTCCTATGGGATCTCTTAAACGGGACGCCAGGCAACTGCAAGATAGCACACCAAGTAGTGGGGTACCAGATGGGAAAGATCAGCTACCACTGCATTAAGCAAAACCTGACTTTAATCAAGAAATATCTTTCCTCAGATGACTTTTAAATGTCAGTTCATGATCAAAACCAAAAGCCCATGCTATTATTACTTCTGGACGGAAATCGTTTTTCCAGCTCCTTCAGGAGTCCAAGCAGGGAACCTTATGGGAACTTTTGTCTAAAACAGTCTCAAATCACAAAGGGATGACCATCGTGATGGAATACACAGTCTTCCCTTTCTCCCATGACAGATTTTACACATACACACAGAGCCATCCAAGAGAATGTACTTGTAGTATGTATTTTTAAACAAAATATATTATTCTTCAGCTGTTTAAAACTGCATTGCAATTTTCTGCATACTAAAACTCTTCTAAGGAAAACGTTTTAAGTTATTCAGCCTAAGAGCCATGACTACGAATGGAAAAGAAAATGGGCAAGGCAGAAGCTATAATAAATGCAGACAAATTTGCTTCTAACCCACTCACCAAGAAGATATGCTACTCTGCTCTTAGGTGGAACAATAGTTCACACTTACTACTAATTTTGAACTTGGCATTCTGTAAGAAGGACTGTGTACGAAGAGTGCTAAGCAAGTCATGCTACTTTGAGACCCTCCGTAGGTGTAAGCTACTTCTAAACGTACCAAAGATGCTCCATTAAGGCTCTGATTCGGGGTGATTTGTAGGTACGCTTTGCCCAGCTAAGGCTGCATTCTCATTCACTGAAGCCATACACATGGTGGTAGCATCAAGGCCTTAAATAACACTATCAACGTTACTTCAGTAATTCAAATACAAATTATTTGCAAAAATGATGAAAATTCTAGATACTGTAGAATACCAGTAAGGACATGATTAAATTCCAGAAGCATTAAACAATCAAACCCTCTCCCCACCAGTCTGCTGCCCACTGCAAACACTGCGGTCAATCCCTCAAGCAGCCACCGAGCGGGGAGGAATCCCAGTGCACAGCCCTGAGATGGTCGGAATTCTGCGCTCTCCCACAGCCTCATTCTCTGGCTTCAGCAGCAGCCTGACTTAAATCACAGTAGCCTAACTCAGATAATAACAGAAGGAAGACTTTTACTATTACCATGACCAAGTCCTACAGATACTTAAAAACGGCAATCCCCAAGCTACAAAATGAAAGTAAGTGCAGCAATTACATTTTTGGAAATTAGTATTTCTACTTTTCTTAAGCCTCCTGCCAGCCCAGGTAACTACAGCTCCATTTATGAGATCTGGTCTTACAATTTGTCTGTCCTTAATGCACATTGCTAAAATACTTGGTGCTAACTGCACCAAGAACTGTTATCCTCAAGTCACCAACTATGTTAATTCGTCATAAACCGAATATCGTATATATGTTTGCAATCAATTATCTTTCTAGAAATGTAATTTAAGTTGCTTTGATGAGTTTCATTTTTAGATACTGGACAATGCATTTGTTAACGTCTTTCAGTTAACGGAAATATTTTATCCTGCAAGACAGCTGTCACCAACACGAATATCTAAAAAGGATTTATACTTTCACGTATTTTTAAAGCACGGTGGCAAGGCCTAAGACAATGAAAAATTTCTCCAAGAAATGTAACTTTCCTGGTACCAACATGCACCTCTCAGACTTCAACAGAGAAGACAAAACAGCCTGCCAAGACAATGCAATTGCGAAATGAGTAGCACTGTATCTAGAAAGAAAGGCATCCTAGGTCTTGTTCTTTCCTTCCTCTCCGCTGCTTGACTGGGCAAGAGCAGCGCTGTACACTCAAAATGTGAATACAAGCATGAAAGAACCATGTCATGTAGCTGGAGGAAGATGTATTAGATAGTCACGGTTTTGAGGAGGCTTTTGTCTCCAAGTTGCATATTTATTTGAGACTTCGTTTGAGCTAAAAAGCCACAGGAAAAGTCTGGAACCTTTAGAATACACAAAGAGACAAGAAACCCATTGCCTGCAGATGCTGCGAGTTTGTCACATACTTAAGTTGATGTTCTTTATGTGAAAGCTTTTGCTGTACAATGGCAGTGTTTGCAAATTTTTAATATGATACTGTAAACACTCACAGTGTCATTAATATGCTCAAAGCCTGAAAGGTCTGAAATATGACTATGGAAAGCGCCATATCACAACATTCAGTAAACTGCTTTCAGTCTGATGAACTGATGCACTGAAATTACCGAGTCAGAAAGACAAATGGTCCACAAAGGGAAGACACCTACAGAAAGAGCCCCTCCTTAGGGATTTCTTTAGTATCCACCAAACAGGAAGCATTAGACAATTAGGAGGAACACGAATGTTAAGTTTTT